CAACCACTCTGCTGGCGATTCTTTATTGCTGTGAAACACGACAGGGACGGTTCCACGGGTACCACTTGGCGAAGGACTGGGAAAACACCTCGGGAGGACTCGCTGCGCAGCCAGGCATGGCGGAACTGGGCTGGAGGAACAGTCTGAAGTGCATGTTTTCCAAACGCGGGGTGACACAGATCTCCTCTCTCTCTGACCCACGGGTATTGTGTGTTCATCATCTGAAAGGCCAGTTTCCAGGCAGCAATGCCTCACTGGCCTGCTTCAAGAAAGACTGAATCTGACTAGACCTTTAGCATGCACCTGCCCAATCATAGCTTGCTCTCTGAGGATCTGCAGTTGCCCTTCTCCAAGTCTGCTTCCTCCTCTTTGGTGTCCCCCTTAGAAAACTCTACAGTCTTCTCATTCTGAAGACAAGAAGGAAAGAAAAAGAGTTGGTACGGTTTTCATCCTGGTCTCGGGTATTTTTTTAACTTTGCCTTAAATTTGCACCTTTGGATGCTTTTTTTTTTCCTTAAATTCAGAGCTCCTTGTACCCACCTGAGCTGGGGTTTGGCCCGCCCCTGTGTCATCCGGCAGGTCGACGCCGCGGGTCTCAGGCAGCAGGATGCAGGACAGCGACACCAGCACGGGGATGCTCCCGAAGATGGCCATGGGGATGGCCCGGTGGTACTTGTCCAGGGGGATGATCAGCGGGGCCAGGATCCCGGCCACCCTCGCCAAGGTGGAGCACAGCCCCACACCAGTCTGCCTGGGGGAGCGAGGGGCAGATGTGGGCAGGGATCAGCATCCCCTGGGACCGAGGGCGGCCATGGGGACAACTGGGCTCTTGTTTCTTCCCCACCACCACCAGCCACGGCGGAGGGAAGCTGTGATGTCTGGGGAGAGCTCACCTGACGACCGTGGGGAAGAGCTCTGCGGCGTAGACGTAGGAGACGGAGAAAGCGGCCGTGGCTGTGAACTTGCCGATGATGGCCAGGACAGTGATGGCCACGGGCTGGTCTGGGGGGAGGAGGAGACACCACCACTGTGACCTCCATGGAGATGGTTCACTTGGGACCCAAACTCTCTCCGGTGTGATTTCTTAGGACAGCCCTTTCTAATGGACTTACCAAGCAAACCTTGGAAAGTCAAGGACACAACCTAACCCTTTGGAAATTGTCCCTAGCATACTATTACCAGGAAAATATCCTCTGGAAAGCTGGCAAAGAGAACCCAGATTACTCCTGAGGTCTTGGGCATTCCCTAAATCTGCAGCTGAAATGAGCTACTGAGCCGCCACAGGTGTCTGGGGGAGTGCTCGGTTGGAAATGCCACACCCCTGAGCTCCGAAACATCGTGCAGCCCCTCTCTTTGCTTCCCAGCCTTACTCCCAGCAGCAGGGGTGAGGGTGTGGACTGAAGCAACGTGGCACAAACAGATGTGGGGGGTGGGCATCGGGGTTTTTTTTCTGTTTGTCTAAAGAAGGGAGAAGCAGTGGATTTTAAAACACCTCTTCTGCCACACCTTTCTGCAAGGAGGTGCCGGAGTTGGTGGTGAACAGTGGGTGGTGGTGTCTGATGGGCACTGCCTGCCAAGGGCCAGGAGCTTTGGGAAGATCAGGCACAGCCCTGAAGGAGAAGACACTAAAGCTGAGGGGGAGCCAACATACTGGGAATGCAGTGCCCTGGGCTGTGGCACTCAAGGCAGCTCAGCCCCTGAGAGAGAGGTGTGGCCAGCCAGGCTGGGAGGATGGGTCTGAACGAGGATAGGGATCACTGGGGCTCTGTCCGGCTCTGCTCATGGGCTGAGAAGAGGTTATTCACCTTCAGGAATGCCAGTGAGGATGAGACACATCAGGCCAGCCAGCATCAGCAGTATGGCCTGCACTTTCTTCCTCCCAAACCACTCCAGCAGGAAAATGAGGCAAAGCCGAGCTGGAAGCTCCACGGCCCCAAAGGCGAGCTGTGTCAGGTAGATGTCCAGACCAAAACTTGTCACACTAAGGCCCAGTCCATAGTAGACAATGCTGTCTGCAAACCTGAAATTCAAGTAAAGTGGAATAAAACATGTCACCAGATGGTTTTATGGGGGCTTATCGTCAAAAATTAACATGGTTATACCACACACAGCTTACTTAAACTCCCAGCAATCTCTGTTCTGCTTCTTGTAACCACCTGTGACAGTTCTGTGGGATGAAGTCACATGAGATAAAGCAGAATGGATCCCCATATGGTCAGCAGCTTCTAGACTGAGCCCAAAACTTCTAGGTAGGCATAAAACTACTCCAAGGCATAGGGATCACCAAAATCTGGAATTACTCAAGTCTTTTTAACAAAACCCACAAAAATTATAATGAGTAATCATCTCCTCCCCACGGCCAGGCAAGGTAAATCTGGTCCAGTATGGGGAGACAGAATGACAGCAGACAAAAAAATACACATATATATGACCACCACAATCACATCAAGTGAATTTACAGTTCTTGCCAACTATCAATCCCTCATTTTCTTTCACCCAGAAGTTTGGAAAGAGGGGAGCAGGGAATGTCTTACCAGACGCACAACATGATCAAAGTCACCTTCCGCAGGTGCCTCTTCCGAAAGAGATCCAGAAGACTTCCAGACTTGGTCTGTTTCTCAGGCTCCAACTTCAAATGCAGAAAGTCAAAGAGTCAAAGCAGACAAAGGTAACCCATGGCCAGCTGCTTTTCCATCTGCAGTCAGTGGAAAGCCTCAGCAAGTCAGGCTGCTGACCCTCACAGCTCTGGGAGGAAGGGCAGCCCCATGGGGGGCTCCTGCCTCTGTGCTCTGGGTGTCCAGCAAGGGGGTTGGTGACCAAGAGGTTCCTCAGGAGGAACATTTCCCCAGTGCAGGAGCTTTGGGGTGGGCAAGGAGGTAACTCCCCTTCTGACATTTATGCATGGAAAGCCACAGACTAAACAGGGACCTCATGCTCCTGATCCACACTCCTGCAATCCTCCCAGGACAAAAGCCAGGGAAGCATTTCAGTCCTTTGCACAGCCCAGAGTGGAGTGCAGGAAGCTCCAGGCTGAGCCTCAGCAGAAGCTGTGCCTCTTGCCTGCCCTCGTCTGTGTCCATCACATCCGGAGCTGGAGTCATCCCCAGTGATCCCCAGCTCCTCCCCAGCGGGATGGAAAGGTGCTGATGGGCTGGGCTGAGCTGCAGGGGCTGTGCAAGCCCAAGTGCAGGGGGCAGTGTCTGCGGACACGCAGCGGTTCCCTGTGCCCGGACAGGTACCTGCTCCAGGAGTCCTGCCGGGAGGCTGCGCTTGTTGGTGGCCGCCGCCTT